CCCCTCCCCCGGGGCCCCCCAAAATCCAGTTTCCCTCCCCCACCCCAGCTCATGCCCCAGCCCCCGAACTCCGGGGCTGTCAGCCCCCGGTGCCCCTGCCCCTCCTGAAAATCGGGGTGTGCTCCCCAAGCCCCCTCCCCTCCATTGGGGAGCCCCTTTTAGGGCCCCCTTCCCCTCCCTCCCACGCTCCCCTCCCCTTTCCTTCTCCAACCCCCTCCTTCCCCTCTCACCCCTCCCCCCATCCTGGCCCCCCCTGCAAAAGTGGGGTGCGGAGGGGGGAGGGGTGAGAACCCACCGAGGGGAGGAACGAAACTCCAATGAAGTCAGAGCCCCTTACCCGCCGCCGCGGCCAGGCCCCCCAACATGGACTGTCTCTGTATAGTGACAACCAAGGTAAGCATGATGGGGGGGCTATAAATTGAAAGGAGGGTATGAATTCGTGGGGAGGGGTTAGGCAGGCCTTATCTGGGCTAGAGGCCCTGGAGTGAGAGTGTCAGAAGTAAAATGTATTTGGGGGTCATAATTTAGTTCTGGGGTTCATATTTGAGAAAATGATGGATTTGGCCACAGGTGCCTCCTGGAGCAATCTCTTTGCACCTGTAAAGAAATGGAAAATTTGGGGTATTCTATGATTTTGGGCCTGGTGGGCTTTGGGGTTCACTGGAGATGTCTGAGGGCATCTTATTTCAGGAGAAGACTGGCTCACATGGGAGTCTTCCTGGTGTATGTGGGAAGGTGGGCTATGTGCGTGTGGGGGTTTTGAAGACGAACCTGGGGAAAAAGGCTTCCAGGTGCTTTGTTCAATTTTGGGGGGCTCTTGGCATGAGGGTAAAGGTTGTTGCCTATTAGGTTTGGAGTGTCAGCTGGCAGGGAAGAGGTGGGCCTTCAGAGTATATAGAACAAGCACCTTGTGGATACATTTGGGGATGTCCTCTTGATTTGAGGGAACTGTTAATTTGGGATTCAGTCATAGAGTGGAGAGAGTTGGGAATTGTCAGAGGGCTGGGGCCCAATACAGAATCACCTGAGGGAAGTGACCAGATGTGGTTAGAATTTGGGGTACTTCCTATGGGAGTTAGAATTTGGGGTATTCCTATGGGAGTTAGAAGGTTGCAGCAGCTGAGGTTGCCAGCTCCTGAGGACACTGAGAGGTTTAGGGAGAGAGGAAATTTGAGGAGGGGGATGTGGTGGGTGGCGTAAAATTTGAGGATGGCCCAGGCAAGTGCCCAATATCCCCATCTCTCTTATTGCATCCAGCACTGCTCAAGAAAGAGGGCAAAGAGCAGATGTAGGGGACTATTGCCCCTGATGTTTGGGATCTGGATGGGGAAGGACACCTGGATTTGAGTCCCTGAGGACTTATGACCCAGGTTACAGGGTAAAGAGGCTACTGGGAATTAAAGGTGGTGGCTGTCAGTAGCTGGGTTTCCTATGAGGGTGTCATTTGGTTGTTCCCTGGAAAGGAGATTTTTGGATGGGGAGTGCAAGCAGGCTCCTGGGATGCATCTGGGATGCAGAATCCTAGGTCTTTGCTTCCAGACACTGGGACTGGAGAGCTGGATGCATGGTGTGTGGAGGGAGGCTTGGGCGGGTGGCAGGCAGCT